ACAGTAGTTGAGCTGCATTTTGCACAGACAGGTAGGTGGGGAGGAGGAATTTCTGTACATGCAAACATACTTGGTAGTTCCCTTGGCTTCCTTTTTAAAGCTGTTGTAAAATGCTTACTTAATGCCTAATATGTTTTCTTTTGGCATAATGTTGTCAGATTAATGAAAAAGCTATCCGTCATCCAAACAATGAACTAGTAAAAAAAAAAAAAAAAAAAAAAAAAAAAAAAAAAAAAAGGAAAATTGCTATAGGCAAGACCTTTTCATGATAACAAAAAAAAAAAAAAGTAGAAAAATGCTTCTGGACACTCGCACTTTAACTGCCTTCGAAGATGGAACAGACTAGGAACTAAAAATGTACTAGACTTTCAACTCCACATTCTCTGCTTTTTCACCATCATATACTTTAACTACAAGTTTTCACAAGTCTTGGCATGTCATCTAGTACAAAAAAAAAAAAAATGAGAACTGCTCTGGCGAATGTGTTCAGCTGAAAATGCGTACTTTCCTTGGCTCTGTGATATGAATAGTCATGTAAAACTGAAATATTTGATACTGGCACAAAAGGTGTAACCCCCTGTACTATTTTGCTGTTTTGAGTTGAAGGCGCTCTTCTGAAAGCTGTTGAGTCACCTGATACATGAACTGTTTGCTAAAGACTGTGAACAATTGGTGCTTTGTAAAGCTTTTGAAGAGAGTTTAGCAAGGTCACTTGTAGTTTCTGTGGCTATTTGGTTTTTCCTGAAACTAATCCCAATTATAAAGAAATCTCTTTGCACTAATTTTAGAAAATTTAAAGCTTAACTGCGTGTGCGCGTGCACACGCACATGTGCATGTATATACAAGTGTTGGGTACTTTAATCTTTTTTTTTTTTAATTCAGACCTTCAGTTTTGTATCTTAAACTTTGCTGTTCTCTCCTTTACTTCCTGTTTCAAAAATGGTTCTTTAGAAAACTTGTCGTCACTTTACCTATACTTGTATTAGCTTTAAATATTTTTATCTGGAAACAGCTCAGATATATATTCAAATTTTGAGAATTCACTTAAGTCCTTTGTTCAAAACCAAGATGAGAGCCAGGGTACTATACAGTGCAAACCATATGTACAAGCTTGCACGTACATTCTTTACACATGTGCCTTACTGCACAGCAAGTTAAAGTCTACATTTTTATAGTGCAACCCCTACTTTGCATTAACTTCCCATATCAACAAGCCTTTAGTCATTCTTGGTCAGCATTTTGTTACTTCTTGGACATCAGTTTCTCTGTGGCATTGCTGGTCTGGCAAAAATTAACTTTTGCACCTTGGGGCAGCTATGCATGGAAGAATACAGTGGTCTCTTGATGCAACTTTCATTTGTAACCAGACCTCAAGAAGAAAATGGCATGGTTCTCTAGTTGTTCTTTTGTGCACAAAATGTGCCCCATCTCCCCTCCAAACCTCCGCCTCATGCAAATGACTAAGTTTTCTTCAAATTCCTGGCTCACAGAAGGAGTCATTCTGCAGATCAGTTCGAATATTTAGTGAGAGCAATAACTGTCACCTTGTTTGTTCAAGACTTGTTTTTTTAAGATTAAACAGCCCATCATTTAACTTAAGAAAAAAATGTTTTGTTTTATAATTTTCCTAATAAATAAGCAAGGTCTTCATGTGTACCACTTGGTTCTTAAAGATGAACAAAACTCTTGGGTCAGAGGTAATATCTTTTATTAGACCAAGTAGATGGTAGCAAAAAAATGTCTTTCTTTACAAGCTTTTGGGTATGCATACCCTTCAGACTGAGGAGAATTCAAAGATTGTAAAAGTACATGTACAAGTAAAAGTACTTTTACAATCTTTGAATTCTCCTCAGCCTGAGGAAGGGTGTGTATACCTGGAAGCTTGGGGGGAAAAAAAGAAACTTTTTTTTTTTTGTTGCTACTATTTAGTTGGTATAATAAAAGATATCACCTTTGACCCAAGAGCTTTGTTTTAGGGGTGCACCTTTTTTTGGTGGGGGTGCAATACTGATCAGCCATATTGGCTGATACTGATTTGATTGTTGATATGCAGC